ACCAACTTCTACTCATATCTGAAGTTTCATTTCTAGATAGTTATTGAAGTTGCTAGGTTTTTGTGACTTCATCTATACTATTCTAGGTACTATGAGACTAATTTCACGTGCCTCTACCAAACATCTAAATTGGAGCACTGAAATATATATATAGATACAGCATTGTCTTCTATCTGGATTGTGAAGTCTTTTGAACAATCCTAATACAAAAAATTGAACACAATGATAAACTGTCAATTCACCAAGTCTATTTTGTGGTTTTATCTCTGTAAATCACATCTTTGAATCTTTTCAGTACAATGTATGGCCCTTCTGAGCTCCTGAAGTTTGTCCTGTCTTGTAGCTGGAACTGTACAGCCATACCATCAAATTCAGTTTTATCAGCATTAACATCATAATGACTTTTCATTTTATTGTTAGCGGGATTTAAGTCCTTCCCAGGTATAGTCATGTATGATATCAAAGATGTTGTGTAATCTTACTACATATTGCTGAGTGACTATTCTCTGGATGAGAGTACTAAAGAGCCAATGGTACTTTAAGTTCTCTCCTAAACAGTATATAATAGTATTTATCCTTTTACTAATGAATGATAATGTATAATAAACTATATGTTCCAGGTTTTAATCTAAATGTTTACTAGAAGGATCCTGACATTAAGATCAATGTAGTCCTAGAATCTAGAGACTTCCTATACTTGGTAGAAGTGATACTTAGGTATAAATATAAGAATCAGATGACAGAGTAATAGTGTTTAAGTAATTGATGATCAAGTAGAATAGTGGTGTGCAAACCTTTTAATGGTGCCCCATTTCTAAATGTGACGCACCGTATAAGGCAAACTGGTTTAGCTTACCAATTTTGTGAGAAGGATGGACTTGAGCTTGGAATAAGACGAGGTCCACTATTGGCTGAATTGTTCACACAGCAACTCAGAGACCCGCTACCTGTAGACGAGTTCGCTTTTTTGTTTTGACTACTGTTAGATTAGAAAACTCTAATTCACACAGGTAGGTTGATGTGAAATCCATCACTTTTCTTGAAAGATCAGGGTATTCTTTACGAACTAGCATCTGGAAGTGCTCAAGTGGTTTTCACTTGAATTATTCCTGAAAAGTTTTATCTTTAGTTGCATTTTGCAGATGAGAAGTTATGCAGTCATTAAAAGTATTCCAGATCCATTTGTGTTCTTCAGCTCATTTCGGGAATTGATATGCAAATTGGCACTGAAGTATTTCGAGATCATTAGAAACACCACCACAAATAAGACCATGATTTAATTTATTTTCTTCCAAAACTTCATTGAAGGAAATAAACATTTTGCAGTATATTTTCTCAAACTGGTTTTCCAAAACACGATATTTTTGTGAAATGCAGTCGCTTTGTCTCTCAGATGCAAAATATTGTTATTACGACCTTGCAATGACAAGTTAAGATCGTTGAGGTTATCGAATAAATCAGGTAGGACAGTACTAGAAGCCACTTTTTTTTCATAACATTTGCTGCTAGTGTGGGTTTGCACTCTAAGAAAAATACGAAATTTGTCTTTCAGCTGCACAACGTGACTGAGCACCTTTCCGTGAGATAATCGTTGCTCCTCCATATGCAGCAGTAGCTTGTTATATATAGCCCCCATTTCTCCACAGTCTGCTATTCAAAGCTCTGGATTTCATAAAGTTCACAACACTCATAGCATCTTGTAACACTTTGTTTGTTTGGGGCTGTATGGTACAATGTGTAATTGTTACACCTAGAGCAAAAAAACTTTAACTCTGAACTCTTTCTTCTCTCATATAAGTGCAGCTAACCCATCAGTGCATAACTCAGAACAATTAATCTAAGAAATATTGTTTGTTCAACTTGGGCATGATGGTGGCTAAAACAAAATACGCGGCCTAGCTAACTAATAAATGAATATTTGCTGTAAAATTACTATCAATGCTATAAGTGTAGTTACACGTTTGACCACCAATTTTGATTTCACTCCTTTAATTTGCACGCTCAATTCTTTTTTGGCTCCACCTTGTTTTCACACCTAAGGTATTTTTGGATTAGATGTCGTAACTTTTTGTCAATACACACCAACAAACTACAGCAAGTAAGAATAAGTTACACTTGATAGTAACAAACATTAACTTTAATATCTAAATCCTATTATTCGGAACAGACCTATACTTTATAGAACCAACCAGATTCTTTAAAATATATAGTGGTAGTTTTTCTTCTCTAAAACAGTGTTAATAGCTTCCTTTATAAGTAACGCAATAGAATTTAGATTAACAGTTTCTTGTCATCACTCGCATGCACTTGGTACAGCCGTATCAAGCATCATTGTTTACACTAATTGCTTAAGCTAATATCACGTGACGCTTAACGCTCTTTAATTATGAGAATTTCATAAGATTTAGTAAATATGAGCTTAAAAGTTGAAATGAATAATAACCGTTCACCTGTATGATTCTTTTGAAAACTTGAGCTAGAAACTGCTAATCAAATGTGCTTGGCCCAACCAGTACTTATGTACACTCTGAATCAGTCGTTTTTAATCGGAATGACAAAAAACTAAAAACAGCCCATCGTTACTCCTTAGGTGAAGCTGTAGTTAAAATTCGATATCGATAGCTCACGTGACATTTTTGCGTAAGCATTTTGGTGAAAATTGAACGGTTTTTGTTGAATAACTTTGTACTTGTAGCTTATACTTAGACCAAATTTCACAACTAATTGTAGGTTGTAACGATCTATCAGTGTACCATATTTGAAAAAGAAAATCCATGAAAATTAAGTATGTTTTTCTATCAAATAAAGTTTTCGTACTTTCGACGCGAAGAAAAAAAATCAATCACATTTGGAGATTCTATATCTCGCTTAATGGATTACCTTGAAATTTGGTATGTGGAGTAAGGGTCCAACCACTGAAATATCTGATAGTTTGGCATACCACAGGAAGTAGAAAATTGCTAAACTATCACTCCTGTTAATAACACACAATATCCCCTGCGGGTTGTTTTGGCCACACGACACAATACTGTGTGTCTTGATACAATGAACATTATCAGAGATATATAAATGATAAGACAAATGCACCTAGGACTGAGTATGTGTGACATAAAAGTGTATTTTACTTACACTGCAGAAACGCCACTTTGGATTATACGTGATGGTTGTCTTCTTTCAGGAATAAAAAGGCACGAAAGTAACATGTTACTTGGCACAAACCAAGACACAAAACTACAAAACATATTACAGATTCCACCAATAAAATTGTGAATCTGTTGCTTGTTTGATCATATTCAAAGGGTGGTAGCCAATATACACTGTCTCCCCACCTGAGCATGGCATGTATGCGGACATTCAATGTCGTGCACAATTGAACAAAAAAAGATTTCAAGATGGCACTGAATTGTTCTCCAATAAAGGTACAACCCTAAAGAAGCTTTAATGAATATAACAGGTGTACCAATTTCTGTGAGTGGAAAATGAATTAAAAATGAAATTTTGTGAACATACCTACCTATTAAGTATATTAATTATAAAATAATGAAATTATGCAGCTTATATTGCAACAGGAAAAAAAAATATTTGTAATTATAACACAGTGATACATTTTTTTTTCACATAAAAAGTTTTATGACAAACGCCTGATATCTTATTGAACAAGTATCTAACTTTAATACCTCCTTATATATACAACATTTTGTAATTAGTGTTCCCAAAATCCATTTGCACTATGACCAGTTTTCTTGGCTCTGAATATATCTTTGTTTTATAACTTTGTTCAATGACAATACAGTGAATAACTTGTTCTGGGCCACTCTCTGTATTGTTTGAAATAATAATTTCTTCATACTTCAAGTAATTTGCCAGAGTAATTATAACTGGATGTTATCTTTTTAAAAAGAATTAACTTACGTTAATAGTTGGTCTCTTTAGACAAGTCTCTTAATTTCTTAACGCAATAGCCTTTAATAAAAATAAGATGACGACACTAACGTTTCGTAATGTAAAATAATTTATTTATATAAAGTTAAAAGCAGAAAAACATACGATAAAAAACTCTACATGTTTGGGTAGAACATGTTCCACCACCTTCAGGTCTAGTAGACCAAATAATTCATAATCATGTGTCATAATAAAAGAAAAGTCTTGATTATATGCGAATTTAGTGGAGTGGTTTATTGAAGATACGTTTTATGAGCACAGTAATATAAAGTCTAAATGACTGAGACTAGTTCAGATACCTTACAAATGTTACAGTGATTGAATAAATCCATTCCAATTGACAATAAAACATGCTTATTTATCAGAAAGTGAAACGACTTGGAGATATTGTTAGGGAGATTTATTGTTTCTTCAAGAGAAACAGGTTGTAAGAGTGCCTGTATTGTGTTTCTTATTGTTGTTTTTACATTGTCGTGTATCCACAACTGAACTTGAGGAAGAGGAGGAGGACACAATAAGAAAATTGTAGAGGCTTCCAGCATGAACCAGAAAAAAAATCTGATCTCTGATCAAGCATTAACAATATATACTCCCACTGGCTCAGTGGTAAGTCAGTGGGTTTGTAACGCTAAAAATTGGGTTTCGATACCAACGGTGGCCAGAGCACAGATAGCCGAATATGTTTTGAATACTTCTTTACTTTCTTGGTTTGATCTTCCGAACTTACTGTTGTTCTCAGACCTATGATAAACTGCACACAGGTTTTTCGGTGTGAACAATATATACAGATTTCTCAGTGTGAAATTACAGCTTGCCATACGCAGATAAATATCAGCCGAAATATTTATATTTCTGCACACAGAACACATCCTACTTATAACACTTCAGTTTGTATATTAAAATAATATACATATCTTATATTTGTTACTATAATAATTATTTTGTTCAAGTTATGTGTAGGTGCACTTGCTTGATTTGGAAGTAACCAATTATATTCCTTTCAGCTCGTATGAGGGCGGAGCTTCCACATAGACGAAACGAGCTTTGAGATGGTTATCGTCACACATCATTCAGGAAAGAGTGTAACGGCATTACTGGAGGTTCTTGAGAGATTTAATACTACGGAAGAAGCGAGAATACCTGGGCGTCTAGTATTACAGCACAAGAGAAAGCCAGCATGCCGAATAAAGTCACTCAGAGCCAACTGACGCTCACCAGCACGGTGGAAACCGAAAAGTTCAGGTGAGATTGAAAGGATGAATAACTTTAGTATCGGTGATAAATATTTACTAGGTTTTCCCAATTTTAGGCTACATTGTTTGATGACAGTCGCTCGTTATCACGAATAATTTGAAGTGCTAATTTGTAAATATTAGTGTTTTAAACAGAGATGTAGGTAGAAAGTAATTCTAGTTTGTATTCAAATATTAAGCACGTGAAAGATGTGGGTAGGAATTCAGTGACAAATACAAAACTATTTTTTCATTATAAACATTTATTCCATGAATGCTGCCACTTAAATTATGCCATTACAACTGAAGACTAGTAGGGTTAAGTTGTGCTTTATAGGCTCTTATACTAGTCTGAAAACATAGAGGATAAAACTGACGTAAACAAATCAATCCAAGTAATTGATATCGCTGTAAATTTGTAACCGAACAGAAAACCGTTGTATTGATTTTAGGAAAATGAACATAGACACGGCTCTGTTTTATAGGATTCATAATGGTATGACGATGAAATTTAAATATCTACATACTATATTACATTGTCTACGAAACAAAAGTTATTTTATTCCAAAAACTTTACGTTATATCGTCGATAGTAAACTCGGAAACACATTACTACTTGACGTTGTTAACATACATCTGATGTTATTGAAGTTTTCTCTGCTGAGTCACACAAACGTTAATCATGATGCTAGTGAGTTATCCTGTTCACAAATTCTTCTATTTATAGGTTGATTTTCCATTATTTTGTCAAATAGTAATGCTTCTGTCGTACGTTATTCTAATAACAATTAAGCAATAACTTAATTTTTTTTTGTATCCCAAACACTCCAACACTGACATATTGAGAGCTCGTGATATGTCCAGAAACGAGTTTGGAAATCAAAGGATACTTCGTATTGAGAAGAAACATTTTTAGATCAATTATAAATGAAAATCTAGGCACTGACTTCTGTAATTGAAGTGTAATGTGTAAGCAACGTGAGTTCAATACTGAGAATGTTCATGAGAAAGAAGACTGTAAATACTTCTAACCATTTTTCACTTTATACATATACTATGTAACCAATTTTTCATTAATTTTTGTTTTAATATTAATAGATATTACACGTGATTTAGATTATCTAATTATAAATAGACACCAGTCCTGTGTTTTCTCAGCTGAGTATCAGTTATAAAGCATTTTATTACACGGAGAGCACTAAACTAGGTAGGTTAGAATTGTAGTAATAGGGATTTTAGTAACATGTTCAGCTGTGTTGCAAATTAACTGAGAAATTGAGTTTTAGCTAATTAGTTTTGAGAACTAATGCTTTAATCATGTTTTTCGTATTTCTTGATGAAGAGTGGGTTTTACTTCCGTAAGCGTAATACGAACTTATGTGTTTTACAGTTTGGAGAATATTGAGTTCTGCTGCACGAAATTGATAAAGTGAACAAGACGCTTACTTGATCCTCTTTATGATATTGAATAATAAGTAGTTTAAGCTACCAAGTCTCATATGTTAGTTAATAATTGCATGAGAAACTATGTGTTAACGAAAGAAGGAAAAGAGCTGTCTCTCACCCATTGAATAAAAATGGTCTAGTCTCTCAAAATACTTCCAAAATTCAGCATTGAATGAAAATGTTTCGACACAAATTTTTGGTATTACACTAGTCTCTCAAAATACTTTCAAAATTTAGCATTGAATGAAAATGTTTCGACACAAATTTTTGGTATTACACTAGTCTCTCAAAATACTTTCAAAATTTAGCATTGAATGAAAATGTTTCGACACAAATCTTTGATATTACACTAGTCTCTCAAAATACTTCCAAAATTAATATAGTCTCAAAGCATTTACGTGAAGACTTTGAAAAAATAAAAGTGTATTTGAATATAAGCGAAACATTTTACTGTGACTAGCAACAACTTTAGAAAACAGTCTTTAACAGGACTACACTTGAGAAGAGCACGAAAGTCACAAAGCATCTGTATGTCTCTAATGAACCCAGTTTCCCAGTTGTAATCAAATGCAGAACTGATAATTCTGGTAGGCGTATACTTCTCTTGAAAGACTCCAGAGCAAAACAAAAAGCACTGAGAAGGTGATATCAATTAAAAGCGAAGAGAAGGTGAACATATATATTACTGGACACAGCTATTATCTTAAAGAAGGCATGCTCTGAAATTGTTCATCTAGGAGTAATTTCAAGAATGTGAAAATGATTTTTAATATTGTATACCATACATTCCGGTATATATATATGTGTTTCTATATTTCATTCCAACTATACTAAAGATCCACATAACCCTTCTTTAATTTCACAGGCTGAGCCAACAGATTACATACAGCCTCAAATTCTTAACATTATAGTTATAGTTAAAGTATGCGTTGTTAAATTTGTCTTAATAAAGATAGCACATTTTGTCGCCCTGTGTCTTGTTTGAAGGCATAGAATACAGACAAAAGTAATTATTGTTGATGTTATGTTACATATAAAGCAAGTGTGTGATTATGTTATTATTCTTATCATAGCTGGTACATTTCACGGGTTTGATGCTCTGTGGAACTACTTTTGAACGAGCAAACTAACTATATATAAAGCACAAAAAATCTGTGTATCTGTCTGTTTGTCTGTTCATCCGTTATCTAACTACTCTTAGTTTGCTGGGTCAATCTGAACCAAACTTTGTGAGATGATAGTTTGGGACAAGGGGAATTTTACTGAAGGGTTCACAACCTCTCAACCCCCTCCAATATTGCTGCTATTGAGCATTTATTATTTTTGACGTAAGTTAAGAAGAACTACATTCATGGATGACGCAACGTCCTTACATAAAAAAATATTGTATTTTTCTGTAAAACAACATACACGCAGTTTTGAGGAAGGCACACAAAATAGTATGGAACAAGGGGAATTTTACTGAAGGGTTCACCCCTCCCCCATTATTGCTGCTATTGAGCATTTATTAGTTTTGACGTAAATTAAGGATAACTACATTCATAGATGACGCAACGTTCTAACACCAACAAATATTATATTTTTCTCTAAAACAACATACACAGAGTGTGGGCACACAAACGTCTTATATTTCTTAGAGAGTGCGCTGGCACTTTCTATGGAGAAATGCAATGAAATAAATGGCCGCCACTATTGCAATATAGATAAACTCGGCTGGAGTTTCTACTACAACAGCCACTATAAGTCTGATATGAAGAGCCGGTTCTTGAGTTATACCAACTTCCTACTTTGACCCCTAACCTTTCAACTAAGGCCTGTAGGACATCTCTGCGGCCAGTGACCGTCAATTAACTGTTATTCACCACGCTGTAGAAGGACATTAGAAGCTGGGTGTTGAAGGCGAGTAACAGAAAGCACCCCTACTGCCACTACCTCTTCCTATAAAGTCACCCTGACAATCGCACAGTGTATACCATGTTTTAAGTATATACTTATTGAGTTCTTACAGTTTGTATAAAACTTTTGGTGAGGTAATGATGAATACTGTAATAATGTGTTATGTTATAAATAAATTGTGTGAAAGTTAGGATTTTTGTGTTATTTATCATAACATCTACCACCATATCTTTTTAATAGTTTTGAATTTCTCGCAAAGCTACACGAGGGCTATCTGTGCTAGCCGTCCTTGATTTAGCAGTGGAAGCCTAGAAGGAAGGCAGCTAGTCATCACCACCCACCGCCATCTCTTGGTCTACTCCAACGAACAGTGGGATTGACCGTCACATAATAACACTCCCACGGTTGAAAGGGCGAGCATGTTTGGTG